TCTCCTATTTTCCATGGATGATACTTCTGTCCATGTGTTTGTTCTGCCATTTGCTGCATGGTGAGATTATGGCATGACAATGCTTCTTCTCTGGACTTCTGAAGTGAGCAGAGTCTATCTTCTGCTGTGGGGATGGTAGAGTCAGGGAGTACATGAGGAAGAGCTCTTGGTTCATATCCCATCATTAAGAAGAATGGTGAAGCATTGTGGAAGTCATGTTTCCGATGGTTATGCACAAATTCTGCCATTGGGAGGTGTTCTACCCAATCTTTGGGGTGATTTTGGCAGTAGATCCGGAGATAGGTTTCAAGTTCTTGATTAAGTCGTTCAGTCTGGCCATCAGTCTGAGGGTGATAAGTGGTTGATGTGGCTATGTCATATTTCAAAAGCTTGGCAAAGGCTTTTGAGAATTTCGATATGAATTGCGGTCCATGGTCAGAAATGACTTTCTCATGGAGTCTGAATCTGCGGTAGACATATTTGAAGAATTTCTTGGCGACGCCTTCAGAAGTGATGGTTTTTGTGCAAGGGATAAGAATTACCCCCTTTGTAAGGCCATGGTCTACCATGACCATAACAGAGTCAAAACCAGCGCACGGAGGAAGATCAGTGATAAGATTGACAGAGACCTGGGTGAATGGGGCGGCGGTGGTGGAGGGGATTGGAACAAGAGGTGGTGTTGTCGGATGGGTATCTGACTTCATTTGCTGACAGAGGGCGCAACCCTCAATGTATCAGCAGATATAAGTACCCATGGATGGCCACCAAAAGTCCCGTTTGATGAGTTCCTCAATTTTAAAATGACTGGGGTGGCCAGCCATGGCATGATCATGACAATGTTCTAGAATAAGATGCCGTCCGGTGGGATGGACATAAGCACGGTCCTTATAATAAAGGATATCATCTTTTATCGTCCAATCAGCAAGTGCGGATTTCATAGGGGGAAGAGATAACCCATCAAGGGCATCAGAGGCAGCTTGGAAGATGGGGTTGGGATCGGAGGGATCAGGGTTTGCAAGAGTGGTCATAAGTTCAACATCAAGGAGGCAAACAAACATGGAGTCGGGCAGGAGGGTGACATCAGAGTTGTCTTGGTCAGAATCTGCACCATGATCAGGGCGACAGGAGAGGGCATCAGGGGTGGCAAGCTTGGCTCCAGCGACATGATGAAGCTCTATATCATAGCAAGACAAAATCAATTGCCAACAGGCTTGCCGGCAAGTGAGCTTCTGGGCTGAACGGAAGTATAGGAGGTTCTTATGATCAGTGAAGACAAGGATGGGATGGGGATTTCCCTCCAAATAGTGACACCATTCAGTCAGGGCATGAATAATGGCCAGGAGTTTGCGATCAAATATCTGATAGTTTCACTCTGCAGAGTTCAGGGTTTGTGACAGGCATCTGCATGGGTGGTACATTCCATTGTCATCAGTCTGTAGCAACACTGCACCAGTAGCAACTAGTGAAGTGTCAGTTGCTACAGCAAACTGCTGACTTGGGTCTGGGTTTCAAAGGATGGGTTGCTTTAAGAAACAGTCTTTCAATGTGGAAAAGGCAGTGGTGCAGAGATCGGACCACTGGAATATAGTGGCCTTCTTCGTTAGATCTATTAGTGGCCTGGCAATGTCAGAGTAATGAGGGATGAAGTTTTGATAGAAATTGCAAAATCCTAGAAACAACTGAACCTCTTTTACCATTGTTGGAGTAGGCCAATCCCTAATCCCATCAGTTTTGGCAACATCCATCACAACACATCCTGGTTGTATGATCATGCCCAAATATTCCACTTCTTCTGTGTCAAAGGTGCATTTTTCCGGTTTGAGGAAGAGTTTCTCCTTATGAATCCTTTCCAGGATGTGTTGGGTACAATCGTGATGGGAGGAGAGGTTGTTTGAAAAAATTAAGATATCATCCATGTACAGTGGCTCAAAAAACTGTCCGCATGTTTTGACATTTTTCACTATCTATGATATTGTGTGAGATTGAACAAATGGCTCAAGGACATGCTTATACCACATTGTAGTATGGCTTCAGGGCTTTCATTTGAGCCCTACACCGTGGGAATCGGTGGAGATATGGTGGAGATACAAGGCTCACAAAATGGTGACTCATGCAGACAGTTTTTTGACTCAAGTATTTTACAATAATAACCAGGTATTCTAGTATTTTGTATGACCTCCCTTGGCTTTAATTACTGCCTCTATCCTTCTAGGCATACTCTCAATTAATTTCTGGCAATCCTCAGCTGTGACCTTCCCCCATTCCACTGCTACTCTCCCCCAAAGCTCCCATACTCCTTTAGGGGGGTTTTCATAGGCTTGAAGCTTTTTCTTGAGTGTTCCCCAGAGATGTTCAATGACATTGACATCAGGAGACTGTGCTGGCCAGTCAAGAACATTGATGTTATGTTCTTCAAACCATTCCTTAGCTCTTCTGGATGTGTGCTTGGGATCATTATCCTGTTGGAAAATGATATCTTCTTCATCAATCCCTGATTCTGCCAAGCTAGGCAGCAAGTGGTCATTTAAAATGTCCACATACTGCTCAGCATTCATCTTCCCCTCAACCTCAGCAAGCATTCCCACACCATTCCATCCCATACAGCCCCATACCATTAAAGAACCTCCTCCAAACTTGACAGTCCCATTAACCTCTCTGTCTGTTAGGCCATCTCCCTTCTTTTTCCATACATATACCTTCCCATCTGACCCAATCCTATTGATTTTGGTCTCATCTGACCATATAACATGCTTCCAGTCTTCTACAGTCCAGTGCTGATGAGCTAAGGCAAAGGCTAGTCTTCTCTGCCTATGTTTGATGGAGAGAAGAGGCTTTTTCTTCTTTGTTACTGCCTTGAGATGAGCTGCCTTGAGAACATTCCTCACAGTTTGTGAAGAGACAGGGGTAGTGATGGTGGAATTGATATAATGGGTGGCTTGGACAGCATTATCAGCCTTTCCTGTAGTGATATGTTGGATAATAGCCCTTTTGTCAGTAGAGGTAAGCTTGGATGGACGTCCTCCACAAGAGTTTTCCTTGTCTGGGTGGCTTTTTTTGATAAACTTGGCCACAGTGGACTTGCATACTCCAGTTCTAGAGGAAATTTGGCGAGCAGAGAGGCCAGCATAAGACAGAGAGAGGATATTATCTCTTTGAGCAGAGGAGATGGCTTTCATGGTGATTATGACTATGATACATGAGATATTCTGGTTTATATAGTTAGATATAGTTATAAAATAACATAATGACACCACTTCATAATTTATATAATAGTGGCATGATTTTTGTGGTGTCATAAATAATGATTTATATAGTTTTAATATACACTCAAAAAACTGTCCACATGAGTCATCATTTTATAAGCCTTATGTCTCCACCATATCTCCACCGATTCCCACGGTGTAGGGCTCAAATGAAAGCCCTGAAGCCATACTACAATGTGGTATAAGCATGTCCTTGAGCCATTTGTTCCTTCTCACACAATATCATAGATAGTGAAAAATGTCAAAACATGTGGACAGTTTTTTGAGCCACTGTATTGCTGTCCAGTTGGCTTGGTAGTGGTGTGATTGTTCTGACAGAACATGGCACCTCTTTGCCAATTGCTGTTGAGCCTAATGGCTGCGGTGACATACTTTTCAAAATCTATGGGGATGGTTTCCATCTGGTAAATGGCATTACCGATCCCCTTCTTGAGCCCATCATTGAAGAATGTAATCAAGATGGCATCTTGTTTTACAGAGGCCTGTGCAGCAAGGGTCTTGAAACTGGTGATGTAGGAAGTGAGATCGCCTGTCTGCTTCAGAGTGTGGAGCTTATTCATGGCTGTGCCAATGGCATTGGCTGGTATGAAGGCTTCTTTGAACTTTGTCTCGAAATTTGTGAAAGTTCCATAAGATTTGGAGACAGAGTTGTCAACCTCGGTGTAAAAGGTGAGCACCCAACCCATGGTGCTATCTTCTGTCATATATGCAAGCATGGTGATGACTTTCTTTTCATTGGTGTTGTAGATTGTAGCATTAAGGGCAAAGTACGCCTTAATCAAGTACAACCATCTTAAAGCCTGTTGGGGAGTTCCATTGTAAGACATTGGTGCTCCAGCTTTAAGTTCTGGGGTGTTGGTGGGTGCTGACATCCTGATCTTCTGGTCTAGTGATGTTTCTGTCTGCAGGGGACAATACATCCCTCTCTGCCTGGTTCTGGTTTCTGGGACCTCTCAGATGGAGAGGGTCGGTGTTGTACTTTAATCTTTTGTTATGAACTAGAATAGTATAATGGCAGCAGCTCGATAAGAGCATCAGCTGACGTTATGATCAAGACCTTGCAAATACAAGGGTCATAAGACAAGGTAGAGAGAGTGTCTCTAACTTGAATATCAGTTCAGACGACTTAGGATTGGGGGTCCTAAGCAAAAGATGTTTCAGGTAGAATCTAGTAAGATTAAAGTGAAGTAACTAAAGCATACAGGAAGACTATTTATAATGGGCTACTGTGCTTTAGGGCAAGTGTGAGAACAAAGCGAGTCAGAGATAAGAGATGCATAAGCAATAACAGAAATAGGTCATCTAGCAATGGCAGCTGCAGTTCTGATGTAATACAACATATGAATCGGAGATAAGTCTAGTGGCGGCAATATGTGGCTCATGACATAATACGCAATAGGTTGAAGTGGAGAAAATGAATAGGGGCATATGTGGCTGTAACAATATGCAACATGATATGTAATTGCCACTTCACCCTTTGCAGAACATGGCCAACAGCGACTGCCTTGTGAATTGTAAGGTAAAATGGAATAAGCAATCACTTTTCACATTTGCAAAGGAGATGTCCTGTGGATTCAAAGAAGACTGGCAGGCCCAGAACGATGCTGAGAAGAAAGCTGCCAAAGGTGTGAACCAGTGAAACAATAGACGTGCTCAACATTGCAAAGAAGTAAGTGTTAAAGCTACTTTTCATCAATATGAAGACTTACTATGACAAATTAGAAAGCAGATCGGCTTATGACAGCACGTCAGGCTTACATCAAGAAATTCAGTGTTGATCCAGTGGACCTTGTGCATGCAGATCATATGTCGGATGAAGTGTCTGGACCAGACAATGATGAGTTGGAGGATGGTTGGAAGCGAAGGATGGCGGAGAAAATGGGAATGCCTGCCAACTCACAAGTTGAAAACTTGTCATTCCTGGAGGTTACAAGAAGTCCCTGGAGATCTGACGAAGTAAGTGTTATGCGGTCCTCAAATATGAGTAAAAGCTTATAGAAATCATTAGCTCAGTCAGATCTTTCATACCCTGCATGATCTTTGGCGAGCATCACTGACCTCCAAGCAAAAGAAGCGCTTCCACATGATCCAAGTCACTGGCACAGATCATCAATCACAGCATATCCCTGATTTTACTCCCTATACCTTCAGCATCAACATAGAATGGCTTGAGGCCAACAAATATAGACTAGAGTATCAAGACTTACTCAAGGAATGGGGTGCATGGGAGGATCCAGAAGGTTTTGGTTTGAAAAAAAGGGAGCATCAGGACAATCAAGGCACTCCAAACAATGAAGTTGATGAGAACAATGCTAGAGAGACAGAAGGATGATTGCACGAATGGTGTTTTCTTGAGGACCAGACCCACTTCGCAAACTAAACAGTAGGATGCCAAGTAGAGAAGAGTTGTCAATCATTGTATGATAGAGAACATTTTGGACATACCCGGTCAAGTGTTGTTGTTATCCACAACTCTGGATTACTGGTCTTGATGATTCCATGAGCGATCTGGCTTGTAATTTGATCGAATGGAAGAACAGTAGGGGGAGCTCCATCTTTGCCTGGGCTCCAGTATTCATTTAGTTTAAAACACATAATGTCAAGCTTGGGACTTGACAAAATGAGTAGGAGGGATAGAACCACAAACAAGACACATACAACTTGCTCCATGGATCATCTTCAATGGGCACCAGCAGTAACTCTATCATCCACCTGAGTTCAGTGAGAAGCCGAGTTCCGTTTGCTATCCCCAACTGTATGTGACTGAAGATGTTGATTACTTCACCGTACCATGACTTATCCATGTATGTGACCTTGATGAGAGATGATCTGGCAGACTCTTGAGTGCTTCTTGCCAATGGTGAGATCCGACGTCCATCTAGAAGTGTGAACTGATAGTACAATGCAAAGTCGTTGAGTTGAGATGAACCTGGACGGGGATTTGCTTCAAGTGCATAATGAACACTGTGGGGTTGTTGTGAGTTATAGTGAGTATATAATGCAACTTGAGCTGCATCGCTGAGTCATTGTGGGTTTGGTATTGATGGACCAGGTTGGACATGCAAATATGGACTCAACTCTAATGAGAAGTCAAAAATCAGCGAGTTTGTAAGAAAATGGATGACATGAAATGTACTGTCAAAGCCTGTCCCAGTGGCAGCATCCTGGATTGTTCCAGAGGCCTTGTGGCCATCACCAAGCATGTGTTCTAGAAGCATCTTGACAATCAGACTTTCAGCATTTGCTATTGCATCACAAGCCTGAAAATCCTAGTGAGTGAAAGCATGATAACAGGCAAAGAAATCACCAGAGAATCTATCTGAGCACCATGCGCAAACTTCCTCATCATCGAAATCTCAATCTGCCCCCCAGTCCAGTTGTTTGAGTTTGAACTCTTGAGGACTTTGTTGAGATGCTCAGAGAGAAAGGCCCAAAAGTTGTAGACTGGTCCATAGTCAAGGATCTGTTGCCTAAGATGAACTGCCCAATGAAAGTTTGGTTTCAGGGCATCAACACAATACAACTGTTTAGTATACAATAAGATTGAAATGTGCATTCAAAGCAAGACCATACCCTTTTGTACTTGAGCAAGTACTCTTGAAGCAGCATCTCCACATGAGGGAGCATATCCAGCTTGATAGAGCTACCACAGAAGATCTTGACAGCAGTTGAAAGGTGCAGAAAGTTGATTGGTTCATCACATTGCATGCGAACCTTTGGTGGCTTTGGCAGCTTTGGTTCCTTGTCATCTTTTGCAGGCTTCTTTCCACGACCTCATTTCACACCAGCAGACCCTTGTGGTGCTTCTTGGTGCACCTTCCAAGCCTTGTAGTCCTTGATAAACTGATTCTGACATTTAGCAAATGATTTAATTGAAGTTTTTTGATCCAACTCTGCTTCTTCCACAAACATGTCCCAAATGATAGGTATCTGGATTGTGGGATGAATACAATGAATAAAATATATAATAAAACGACTTACAGTGATGGGCCAGGCTGTCGTCGCAGCAAACTTGTATTCATCAGCCATCAAGGACCCACCTGCAGGCTCTCTGACACAAAGTCGCAGCTTTCCAGCCCAGAGTGGGGCTTCAAATGTACTGAGAAAGGTGTGCATTAAATCAAGCTTGCGAGTTCTTGTCTGAGTAGAGGCACGAAGGGCCAGAGTCAAGATCCATTGTGTGTACCACTGAGTCTTAATAATTCCTGCAAGGTCCATATTAGCTCATTCATTGTTAGAGTAAATATGATGACACACCAAGTAATAAATTGTGCATTGGATCAATGATTGTCTGTCGCACAAGATCAAAATATGGGAGCTGTGCAAGTTCAGTCCAATGGACACCATATTCGTCAAAGAAAGTGTTATGTTCATCTCATGTTTCGAGGGCTTTCTCTTGAAAACATCAATGTCAATGTTCTTCACCATCGCATGGATCAAATTCTATTTTATGGTTAGTTCAAAACTGTAAGCTACCAGGGAAATCAAAGGCATGTACCATTACATAGAGACTCATCAGAGAAAAGTTCATCCTGGGTTACCTTGCACTTAGGGCATGGAGAATTCTTGTGACTGTGATCAGCAAAGCCACACATCTTACACATGGCTGGATGGTCGCATACAACACCTAGGAGTACAACATGAACTCTTCGACCTAGAAAATATATGTTAGTGCACCAAATGGTCAAACACTGTTAGGACTAACCTTCTGGGTGCCCTGGGGTATGATAGACAACACTTTCCTCGTAGAGCTGGAGCAAATCATTGACAACAAGTCACAGATAGTTTTAAAGCTGAGTGCCAGTTGGTTCGGTAGGTCCAGGTGTCATGAATGATACCAAAAGGTTCTCAGCACAATACCTAAAGACATGAATACAAGATATGAAACAAGTTAGTGGCAACTCACCTTAGTGCCCTAGGAAGGTTTGAAACACATAATGATAAGATGCCAGAGGAATGGCTTGGCCCATAGACACTGGTCTTACATCCAAACCTTGGAATAAAATTTAATCAGTTGTCACATCAAGAATACTGCGTGGGTAATTACATACCAGTTGAGGCTCATGGTGACACCAATGCGAAGCTCCTGTGAGGTTTCCGTCCCAGAAAAGAAGGGTGCTTGATCTGGGCCCTGGATGGTGCGCCATACCTCACCATCTGAGATATCATGAAACTCCCCTGGTTTAACCGTGCATGATTGCCAGGATTCACATGCCACCTCATTACCTCCATGTGCAAGAAAATTCACAAGGAAGATGGTACCTGGATAGGTGCTGCACACACTGGAGGAGGGCACTGAGCTTTGCAGCCTGTTACCATCCGGAAGAGCCTATCAGAGACTGGTTTGAATAGCTGGCTATCACAGTCGGAACACAGCACGTTAGTGGGTATATCTGTAGGGAAAATATGGTGACAATGACCGCAGACTGGATAAATAGTAAAACGGTCATGGAGATCAAGGCGGTGAATAACAGTGTTAAGAGTTGTAGGAAGAGGCTGCATGGGATGAAGAATGCCTAGAGAGAGGAGAATGGTGGTAACACAATGAAAAATCAGAGCATAAGCATGAAAAGAAACATGATGCTTCGCATGTAGAATAGCCACCATGATGATAATGATACATCCAAACCAGTCTGGATGAGCATCTTGATATACCTGACATGGATTGAGTGGTGCTTCAAACTTGCTTCTTGGCGTGATCTGCACCTGATCCACAGGTGCATGCTGACTGTTGGAGGGGGCAACCTGTACATTGGGGATGATCTCTGCATCCAAATCTCCATCATGTTGTTCTGTATGGAGAAGTGGGTCATGGTGGACCTCATCACCTGTGTCAGGGTCATCATATAACCCAAGAGAGTCTTCTTGGGGAGGCTGGGACTCAGACTGTAGGGCATCATGGATCGCTTCATCTTCTTCACGCTGAACCATCGCATGCGTACTGCTGGCCTTCTGCCACAGGCACTTTGCAGCAGGTAACTGAGTTTGGCAAGGGACAAGGGTAGGACAAGATTGTGCAAGAGGAATCTGGTGACCGCTGGCAAGTAGAACAGGTGTAGTACGTGTCGCTAAGAGTGGCGCAGTGTGGGCTTCAGGGGCAACCCAATGTAGGGAATGAGATTCCTCCAGGCATATATTGCCCATATTACGACTCACAACAATTGGTATAGTGTGCAACTCACTATCTATGACTTTCCTATGAAATGCGCCAGAGGTGCAACACTTTCCCACACTATGCGACGCATTCCTGCGCACGCACTTAGCATGCTCTTCCTGTGCTTGGTCACACTTTGTCACACAGCATCCATCCATCGTCCAACCAGTTCCCTAGTGAGTCCTTTCTTGTTTATTCTCATTATCAGACCATATTTAGTATTAGTATGACATTATTTCATCATGGACCCCTACTTACATACTTAGAGCGCTCCCTATTCACTTCTGAGCCCTGGGAGCGCACCTAGGCACAGCTTACCTGTCGCCTAGGAAGTTTTCATACACCTACCACCACCACCATCCAGTAGTCATCTAGCAATTAGAATCCATCATGAGTTAGCATCTATCAGAGTTGTCACCCTAGTCCTCATCTTTTACACATTCACACACTGCGTGCACCTTATTCCCATGCTTCACGCTCCTACGCGCTCAACATTCCCGCGCACACACTTTCAGCGTGCTTCACCAGAGTTGATCTGGCATCACCCAGTGGATCTTGCTTTCTTTGCTTCCCTTAAGGGTCGAACACATCGCTCGGTGCACTTCAACCAACACTTAAAGAGTCAGTAGCCTTCCTCTCCCCCCAGGGTGAGAGCCCTCTTTCTTTCTTTTGCTCTGCAAGCCAGCAGAGTAGTTAAACCTTCACTGAAGATATTTGGATGGTGGAGATTGTATGGCTTCTGATGAGGTTGAGTGCTGAAGATGTTGGGATGACGATGGTATGGGGTCATGAGAAGGTAGTGTTGGTGTAGGTGATTCTCACTGGGGATATTCAGTGTCGATCTCCATAGGTTCATAGCTATCCATGCTTAAAAACTTGAAGTTAGTATGATGCTACAGGTATATACATATATCACAACTCACAAGGGTGATGGTGTACAGGTGAAATTTTTCTGAATATCAGACTCTTCACTGTGTGATGTAGCTGATCCTAAAGGCAATACCTGTGCATTACCAGGAAGAATAGCACCACATGAACCACTCATTCGGGATGAGGAGATGTGAGTTGAAGTGCCAACACGGGTACGAGCAGTTGATACCACCCCACAAGGCAGTTGTGGCATCACACATCCACGTTGAACAACAGGGGGGGGGAGCTGGACCTCTAGCACGGCCTCTCTGTGCAATAGCAGACTGGCTGAGGTTCTGGGTTCAGTAGTGATTGTCATGTAGATAGCTCAGGATGTACTGGCCACCTTCAGCAGATGTTGTACCCTTACAAATGGTGCAATTACACCAAACAAGGCATTGGCTTGAGAGCATGCTTGGATTTACGGTCTAAATAGTTTGAACTTGCATTAGATGACAGGTATCAAACAGAAAAAGTGTGCAACTCACTGACATGTTGCAGGATCACGGAGATGGCAGTAAGAAAGAGGGAGGCGCTTAAAGCAACTTGGGCCACAAGCAACGAGCTTAAGTCCTTTTGCCTCATGGTAAGTCATCTGGTCAGCTTGGTGCATACCTGACCTAAAGTTGGTTAGTGGTTCCCTTAAGTTATCACACCAAGCAGAACAGGGGCAAGGTGGTCTATTTGCAGTAGATAGCAACTACATGAGGCTACATGATGCTGAAACAAGGCAGCATACTCAACAATCCGGAGAGCCTGCATACTGACAAGTGATTGATAAAGAAGAAACCCGGCGTAGTTGTAGTGTGTGACTAAGTCTTTGTACACATGATTACTTCACCTAATCAGACCTACTCACACTAGCATTAACCAAGGGCTAAACATAGTGAATCCAAATCAAAGGTTCAGCAGGTGGCTGGTATTGGGGCATGGGCAGGTGAAATGTATTAAATGGTATCGTTTTATCATGCCATTCAATGTTCAGTACTGTTGCTGGGTGCGCTATGGGAGGCATATAGTACTTTGTAAGATGTGAACAAAGGAATTGTTGAAATGTTGTACACTGTACAAAAACAACGATTACCTAAAGCGGCACAACCGGCGTGTAGGAAAATTCAAACTCCTTGCTTCTCCTGCTAAATTCCTCCGAGATCGACCAGTCCTACTGCGAGACGTGAGACTCTAGTAAGACTGGTTACAAGTCTAGTCTGAGTCCAGAACTGACGCCTGCACCAACACCATACCCATACTAAGCACATTATACGGGTACGCCGCGGGTACTATCAGGTACTATCATGTTGTATCAATGTCTGGACTTCATTAACGTTGAGACTTCTGACTTGTCGCACCTGGACTGTACAACAAACCTTGTACAGTGTTGAGATCTTGAGACTCAAACCAGACTCAAACACTAGGACTTCAGGTTTGACGCGGCAATTTACTACTATTTTGCTAAACTGCTTTTAACGCGTGTTATATGCACATATTCCCTCGCGAAGATCTAAAAAGAAAACCAGACATTCTCATTGTCACTTCCACTGAAAACTGCAGTATCGACCATCCCGGAGAACGACGAACCAACGTTACTCGAAGTTAAATCTCTGGTGCCCTGCGTTGAAGACGGTCTTGAAGAGGCCACCCTTACGAAGACTACTTTGTCAAGATTGAAGAAATTTTTAGGTTAATTCGGAATACCAGAAGGCCCGCAGTATCCTGAGCTATTTTATCATATCCAATGCTTTCCAACTTGAAAAACGACGGCATTGATGGTGCGGATTGGTGTAAAATTCGTACTGTGAGTCCTAAATGCATCATGAATGCGTCCTAATAGTAATATATACCCCGGTCAATCGCCACCATTCTGTAATGAATAAATGTTATAACAAGCTAAAGCTTTTTGAGTGTTATTGCCAGCCTCGCATGTAAGGTCCCATCGCAATCTACATATATATGATTGCTACAACAGCACAGTCAGTTGAATTCGTCGAAGAAGAGTGGAAAGATATGTCGCTCAGTTCCAAGACAATGATTGAGCTGAGGAAGCGAAAGACTTACTCGTATGTCACCCAATCGCCCAACAGCGAACTCCAGGCGATGAGAGCTTTGCCTACATCGCCGATGTATCGTTTAGGTCTGCATAGCCAACAGGGGAATGAAGAATAGTCGCATAGGAATCATAAATGCATCAGTACCTCGGTTTTGAATGTGTCAGAGCAGATTTAAACTTACTCATCCGGCACAACTGTTTCTAAGAATTCTGTTCGCACCAGTACTTTAGGCGGTGTTTCACGACCAGGTTCCCCTTGCCTTGTATGAGTTCCTAACAGAAGTGAAGATTTTGGACAAGCCGGAAGACTAGGTGAAGAGAGACCACAGCCAACACGCCATCGCCAGCTGGTCCCCATATAAAAGCGGATCCACCATATACGTCCTGGAATGGGATGACCATACAGTGAGCATAAGGAACAAACCAAAAAAAACATGATCCTATACCTTGCGCAACAAATTCTTGTTTTAATTCTTGTGTAGCGCGCAGGCATTTTTGGGACATTCCGATATGGAAGGAAGCAACGAACTGGTGGTCATCCAGTTCTCCCCCTTCATGTACCTCGATCTCGCCTGGTGGACAGCCCAGAAATCGTCTTAAAGACTCGCTCTTGGCTGATGAGTGTGTCATACATCAATGTAACACTCTCGGATGGGCATCATAAAGGGCTTACCATCACTATTTTGGAGATTCAGCTGCGAGAATAATGCATGGTCGCTGATTTGCATGCATGCAAAATGTAGGTCAGAAGAGCATTCAGACGAAAATTTGGAAATGAATCTAGCAAACGCCGAGAATACTTCTTGCCGGTGATTCACAATTGCCCAATATAGAGCTGTGTGAGCCTCGATATTGGGTGTTTGCAGGAGGCCGGAGAGCTGAGGGCTGTGAGAGCAGAAGCGCATGCATTGACAATTGAGTCAATAGAGGAAGGGGTGGAATTTGTGGCAGAGACAAGATCACGAATGCGAGATAGAACAATAGCACGTTTCTGCTTGCCAGCCGGTAGAAAGGATGATATAGATAGCCGTCTGGATTTGATGGACAATCCTGGGCCGGACGTAGAAGTTGTGTCGTATGAGGGAGGTGAGCCAGCAACGGACTTGCTATCCGAGTCATCGAAGGCTTTGAATTCATTATGGCGATGCAGGTGATGTGACTGGTGGCGAGAACAACAATGTGTACGTCTGGGACGTTCTCGCCATCCTCAAAGAAGCTGGCCTCGAAGACCTACTATTGGATGTGAGTTTAAGTCTCGTGACTCTTTGGTAACACAGTGCTAATCTCCTCGCAGGGCGTGGAGTTGATAGACGTACGTGGCGTATTTCTCGGCTTTTTCTATTGCTGTAAAACTTAAGGCGATTTTTCGTTGAGGTAATATAATAAGGAAATAGGGGCGTCGTGCCAAGCATCCCACAGCACCCTATTGGCACCCCAAAACAAGTTGTAGCCTACAGAACAACCACGACAATAGCAGACTATTGGTATTCCTGATAATATCAAACCCGTATACTTCAGAGTGCGTTCATTGCACAGGACTGAGTGGTCAGTGGTGTGAGGAGCGCACTACTGGTACTAGAGGCCTCCTGACGAAAGACGAGGATATAGATGAAATGCGCTGAAATACATCAGTGAGCTGAGGGAATTCTGAGAAAGATATATATTACATTACAAGGACTCCCCTTCGGTCGGCTATTGTGTTTACAGTAGCAACTCAGGAGACACAGTATTAGCACAATCTTGTCCTTCGTTCGTCTCCGCAGATAGACACATCGAGTTTTCACCCTTAGCAACACTGTGCGGAATTGACGGCGAGTAAAGGGATCCGTTCGGAGGTCGAGCACGGTTCGTGCTAGCGTCAAGCCTGATGCGGGGGATATAGTGACTTTCAAATGTGGTTGAACTTCTACGAACCAACGATGCAGAGCAATCGCGCGGTTTCTGACTAATCCCTTTCTACCGTCAATGATAGGACCGATAGTCGTCCGAAATCCCCTGGTGCTGGTACCAAATGTGAACACATCTACACGAATATCTCCGATTTCCGAGGTGAACAGACCGCTCCTTACCTGCAGTAGTGATGAATCCGTCGTATCGCCAAAATTCCTATTCGTCAATCTGATACTTGCTTCCATTTCGAAGACCAACAACGCCGTGAAATGAAGCAGAAGTCGCCATGATAGTGGGGAAAGAACCGTAGATAGGAGGCAGATGCAGAGCAATACAGCATGATGTAGTAGCCGCAATAGCACCTGAGCGGTTATTCGTGGTTTAATACCGTTAGATAAAGGTAGATAAAGTGGATCATCACCAGCATCATGC